CCCTTCTATGAAGCATGCTATGACAATGCTTCGCCTCACGGATAAATTCCCGCTCGCGCTAGACATAAATTCTTCGTAGGTACGCATTCTGCTCGATTTGTCGCGGAATTCCATCCGACGATGAGTTGTACCAGCCGTTGACCTATTTTTCTACTTTCTTCACAGAGAAAAAACTAAGTCTGTTTTTGAGAAAAAAGAGCTTCTCTTGAATGGTACCAACAGCTCAGGGGAGATTCGTGTTCGTCACGACAATGAAGAACGACATGACTCGGAAACAGTTTCCTGTGATCGAAGATAATTTATTATGGAACGGTTCCGAATTGAATTCAGGTAGAGAGAAGGCTGAGCGATTTGAGAAACGGTCCTTCTTCTCCTTAGTTTTCAGAGGCAGGTGAACCATCTGTCCGAAAGTCACGAAACGATCTTGGGCGCGACTTTAAACCGCGGCGGAAGACAATCGTAACCACAAATCGCTAAAAGTCGATAGAGTTCGGCATGCGCCCACGCCGATGACGGAAATGACCGGTCACGGAGGGATGCGTACCCTGGAAGCTTCTATTCAATCTGGAGGAAGCTAGGATACTCCGGCCAGCGCTGGGGCATCTTATCCCCTGATCCTTCCTGCCGAGAGAGACGAGGGCAGGCCGAAAAGTATGTCCGAAAGGACGATTGGAAACATCAGATTGGAAAAATTATTAGATGCCGTAAAAAAAATTAACGAGAATGAGCGAAGTTGTGGAAGCATCGGAGAGGGAAACTCCCGCGCGACCGACTCACTCAGCCCGCGTTGGGTGATTCACGTGATATCGACCGTCGGACGAACGGACGTTGTCAACTCCTTGGTAAGCATTCAGAGAATTCCGTTGCCTGGGAGACCCGACGAAAAACAAAACGACAAGAAAAATCAACGCTACCCCGCACAGGCATCCGAACAAGTATTCCCAGCCAGCCCGAGCGCTTCGGAAAACACTTTGACTCAGGCGACGATAAGTCCGGTAATCACTATTCGAAAAGGATCTCTCCGTCGTCCTTTTCGGACAGGTGTCCGCGATCCACCTGTGCAGATGATCATCCAGGCGTGGAATCACTGCACCTCTCGTGAGCTTCGTTGGAGCTCTGTCAACGACGAGCTCAGCGCACGGGAAGGAAATATAGGAACATCGCAGCGAATATCTGCGGAAACGAAACGACCAGAATGAATATCCCCTGATCCTCGTTCTGTTTTCGGCGGCAGAACTGACAGCCACCCGATTCGATCCGACGCTGGTCGTCGCTCAGTTTCCTCCGACTGAGTGAGTGAGAGAGACAGCTGACTGCCGAGCGCTAACTCCGAACATCCCATATGACTAGTGGAACCGGAGAGAACTGGGATTCGGTGTCCTGCAGGCTCAGAGTTGTTTTCCGGCGTTCTTCCCTCTGCTCCGATCGAGCGTTCCTCCGATAGAATCCTTCGCCAGTAATCTGAGTTTGGGCCTTAGAGGCAACATTCCACACCCTGTAGACCGACAGTCAGTTCAATGACCAGCTATGGCGCCCACGGAACAGGTACATAGAACTCACGTTGTTCGGCAGAAGTTCAAGCCTTCGCAGTTCCGTTTTCTCGTCGAGTCTCCGAACCGCTCAATCCGAATATCGTTCGGAAACTCTCTTGATTCCAAAAGAAACACGGGCTACTTCACAACAGAAGATCCACCAACAACACAGCAGAAGTTTCGCTCGAACGGCCAGTGACGAAGTGCTGCTGCCACCACTGAAAAGCGCCCTCTCGCGGAAACGGACAAGTGGCATGAACAGCGCATGCGCTCACAGGAGCGAAACCGTGCCCCGAACAGAAAAGTCAAGCTGAAGGCACGTCGCACGGCGGCCCGACTAAGCGTATAACAACACAGTCGGCGCTCGTTTTCCTACGGCAACGGTAGAAAACGGCCAGGGACAGACGGCTGGCGGTTTGTCGTGGAGGCAGTGGCGATGCGCAACGTCTTCAGAACATTTCCGTCCGGCTAAAACGACATAAGGGGCGATAATGTCCGCGAGCGCTTTCCCGTTTTCAGATCGGATCGATGGCGTGGATCGAAGACTTTCGCACATTTTTTCTGCTGCGGGCACCAATGCCAAAGGAAAGTGTCTCGCCGAAGTGAATTCCTCAGACAATGTCCTGCCTACATCGTATCGATGCTAAGCGTTGACCATTTTCCTCGCTTCATCGGGCGATATAATGGCTACCACCGGCTTGTGTGGCTGGTGCGCGAAACGATATTATGTGAGGAAAAGGGGAAGAAGATGCTATCCGTGGACCGGGTCCGACAAAGTGGAGGAGCTAAAGAAGAGGAGGAAAGACTCTGTAACCGGTTCTTTGAGATAAGTCGGGAGCTCTGAGAAGGGATGAATGTCAATGAGAGACCGAAATTTGACTTTCTAAACGAAGAAAAAGACGCGAGGTCGAACCGTGAATATTCCACTAAGGGTCTTTAAATAAATTTCAGCAATGTATACATACGTTCGATTCGCATTGCCGTGACACCGTTCCGCCTAACGCGACGAATTCCGGCCTCAGGAATGGGTATGAGGATTCGTCAGCCGAGCATGAATGCTCGCTTTAACAGGAGTCACGCCTTTCAACCTCGAGCAGTGACACAAGCCCTTATGATCACGCAATTCTTCGAATCTCAAATACGATCCACCCATCAAGATCGGGGAAAGAAAACTTCACGTACTCACCTCCCAGTCCAATTGCCGTCCCGCCCGTCAATCATGGAGCCCCCCACTCTTGGACTGCTGCTAATGGAAGCTCATTGACTTCGGATCTCAAAGTTTGCCATGCGCCGGCGTGACGTGTACCTGCGTCGATGAGCCCTAAGGCTAAAAAGTGCCCGTAAGAGAATCTCACACTCGTAATAAGGATAATTATGGACCGAGGCTTTTTTGGACTTGGAGTGCGCCATATCGTTTCTTGACCAAACGTTCTCAGACCTGCGCTCCGGAAGTGCAGTCTCAGAGGTCCGGACGACGCGACGTCCGGATAAAAACGTCCGCAAAGGGACGTCTTCGAAATCATTAATCAAGTGACTGAGAGACAACTTCCAGCAGAAATCTCGTGGAATAGAGCGCTGGGCTAACATCCGGTACGGAGTCGATTCCGAGCTTATTTCTCCAGAGCGAAAAGACTCGAAGAATATTTTCCCGACCCGTGAAGTTCAGGGTTCATGACCAAGGTCGATTTCCCCAATCGTGGACGCGACTCTGCCTTCGAGCCGATCGACCTCCGTCATCGCTTGAATTCCATCACGTGGAGGAACTTTATGAAAAAAATTCCGCCGACTCGAACGAATGCTTATGAGGGTAAAGAGTGGGGGGAAGGGGGGAATCAATGTCAGGGACACTTTTCTCGTGACGAGTCACCTTTCCTGAAAATTCGTGCTCGTTCTCACAAACTGCCTCCGATAATTAGGAGTAGGCAAACAACGGGGAGCAGGCTGCTGGTGCTCAGACGAAGAGCAATCCGAGCTCCGCTCCCACCGAGTACAATGAGGCAGCGACTGTCTGGAGCTCGGCTAGTTCATCATCGTATTCTGCTCCGGTAGCGCTATCATACTGCCAAGGAAGGAGCAGAAGATCGATCAATTTGCAATACCGATCGTGCTGGCCGGCAGTCGTGACGGAAGCGGCAGTGGTCGAGGACAACCGGTAGGAGGACGACGTCGGCGAGATACTCGCGGTACCGGCAACAGAAGAAGTCGGAGCAGTCGCCGTAGCGTACGATGTTGTGTACGTAGCTACCGGTATTGAACGAGGAACAATCCCGCCAGGGGAAGTTTCTATTATTAAACAAAGCACAACAGAGACGAGCGATAGTCGCGTTTACGTACAGGCAGCGAGCGAGATGCAAGAGTACATACTACGTTCTCGAATACAATTCCCGAGAGATTCGGGCTCTTCCGATATCGACGTTGCAGCAGCAGCGGCGTCGGCGTCAAAGCTTAGCGTTGCCGAAACGAGGTCTAGCAAACGATGGTGCGCCGTTCGGAGAGCTTCTCTCGAAACAAATGTACGAACAAACAAATAAAAAAAACAGCAAAGAGAGCAGCCAGCCATACAAAACTCGCCAGTCATCGTTGGTCTACAACATCGGCAACGCTATCGGTGGGGGCAAGTCGTCTCTAAGCTCGGGAGGCTTCCGAGACCAATTTGCCGATCCGCGGGGATCGTACCGTAAACCACACGAATGGCCGTCGTCGTAGTCATTGTCGTCATCGCAGTCGATAGCATTCCGGGACGTCCCGGAGGCCGATTTTGGTACAAAAAAAGCGCCGAACGGTCGAGATGTGAGCGTGCGAGATCGCTTTGTCTATGGTCCTTCCTCGATACCCGTCCTGGGATTTTCTGCCTCTTCCTACGTCTCCATAAGCGTCCTCCTGCGTCGATACCCCATCATTCAGAGGGTACGTATTTCCGTGATTTGGGGTGGGGGTTAGTGTCTTGGCTCCGGGAGTCTGATTTCACAACAGACGAGTCAATGCAGACGGAGAATCTACCCAATAGGGTAATTAAAAATTATAGAACATGCCTCGGACCCTTTCGCTCCGGGACGGAAAGCGTGGAAAGGGTCTTCTCCGTCTCTAGTGAAAGGGAGAAGTCGCGACCCGTGAGTTTCCGCCCCTATTGTGCTCATGATTGTTCGATTTTATGCCTCGAGACTCGAGGCCCGGGTATTATTTGGCCCCGCGAGACGGTGCTCCGTTCCTAGCCGCTTGACTCTCGGTAGGAGGGGAAGGATACCTCGGCCTCGGTTTGATCGTTCGCACAGCATTTCCAAACGGCTTTAATTTGGTGATTTTTCAGAGTGTACGCGGCCCCTATCCCCTCGGATCAGCGAGTCTCTCGAGATGCCGAACAGCATTCGGTCGAAGCGTCAACCGCATCGATTCCGACTTACAGGACCTGACGTGGGTTCTTTGATATCTGACTGAGTCATAAGACGTGTAATAGGATCGTTCACTCACATGTTGACGGCTTGTCGAGTTGCTCCATGCTCCTGAGCAATCGACGCCGATCCTGAGTTCCTAATATTGCATTGAAAAGCACCATCTTCTCCTGATGGCTTGTGGATCTCGCTCGCCCCTGACTCTCATGGATCAGAGGGATAACGTCTCGGAACGCTGAAAATGAAAGTACTTGTGTGAGCTTGCTTGTGCGGTGTAGTCTATCGCCTCCGCGGGAAATGCTGTCCTTCTCAAGGCTCATATTTCATGCAAGCTGAGGCATGATTATATCGTCGTCCGAGAGTCACTATCAGACACTTTTGGACGGACGCAGGAGGACGTGGTGTTGGGCTCGCCGAGCATTCGCCGAGACCGCTCGCACGGCTCTGATATCTTGCTGGAATTTTGTCCTGGGCGCAGCTCAGCAGACTTTGTGCGGCCTTGCTTCGGGCAGAATTATTTTCACTCAGGTGGTCAAATTCGAGGAAACGAAGTCCGAAAGTCTGACTCTATTCCGAATCAGTGTGATTCCATGTTTTGAATATAGTTGCTCGGGCTAGAGAAACGATTGACTGAGGTCAGAGTTCGTGACGATGCCTTACAGATCAATCAGGAGGAGCAGAGATCCCGAGAATCGGGCTGAGATTGATTCAACAATGATTCAATGTGTTTGACATCGAAACTCTGCGGGAATTTCTCTCCTCCGCCGTTGGTCCGTAGTATCGCTCGGAAAAAGAAGCCGATCTACAACCAAAAGTCACGCCATGCGGCCATTAGGACCGCCGGGGCTCGATTCGCGCCTAAGATATCAGGATTGGATTTCTCGCCACGTTACCGCATCATTCGCACTGACGACCATCATCGAGAGAAGTACTCGACAACGTCGAGGATTGTCGTTGAAGAGAAAAGGTACGACGGCGTCAAGTCGAGACCCGAGCCGAGTATCTCGATCCGTTCCGGATTCCTTGGAGGGAGGAGAATGAAGAGGCCCCCCGGAAACTAAGTCAAGAATGCGGGAGATACTCATCAAACTACTTCCGCCTCGGGTAGATGAGACTATATGTACGGAAGACATTAGAAACAGGGGTATGTGAAATTAGTTGCGACCGCGTTCGTCGCTCCTCCGTAGGTCGTAGTAGACCTTCGTCATATACCGGTTGTCATGGAATGAGATGAGGATTCCTCCGGGGCTCTCGGGCTCCCGAAATATTCATGGGTTGCCGGGCAAAACCAATACGAAAGCGAATCACCAGCAATCGAAGTAGCACTCTATTCGTAGGCGAGCTTCTCACGCTGCCTCGATAGCCGCCATCCATCCTCCACACGGGCCTGAGATCTGCCATGGCCTATCCGAGACCTGAGCATTATTCTTGTGGCGGATTTCTAAACCAAATGAACTCAGGAACGAAGATTGCCAAGTCAAACGAAGAGGTCGAGACTGATCCACGAACCGGTTTGGGATAGAGCACGAAATACTTCTTAGCTTCATCACTCGAACGGTCGAACCCCTGCGCCTATGCTTGCAATTCACAATGAGAGAATCGTCATCCTCCATTCGAAGGCGGTCGGTCTCTAAGGTACACAATTCCTCACTTCTGGGCGCGTTCCCGTCCCAGACTGACATCGAGATTGGGACGACCTCGCGTTCCCGTTGCCGTAAGCTCGCAGAGTTGCACCACATTCACAGGAGAGACAGTTCCTACTTCCGCATCCGGCGTGAGGATCGCCGAGGTGCCGATAGTATAGTATTACGAACCCCGGGCGCGTCGACCATACCTCAAGAGCACATGGAGCACCGAGTTATGATGCAGCTCTCGGTTATTCTGGTTTCTAGCTGGACGACGATTGGTCACCACTGGTTCATCGAGCAGCGATTCAAAACATTATGTGTTCTCGCTCGACGGTCCCGTCCAAGCTTCGTGAAATAACAATACGAGTGGGTATTCCTCGAGTGTCATTTGCAGACATTTGAAAAGTGAATCATCGGTGTAGTAGTAGTCGTAATAGCGGAGCTTGGCCGTCAACCAACTTCTTCCCTCAAGCGTCATCTAACGACAGTCCTTGAAGTGCACCTTCGAACAGCTGACTGCGGTCTGTCAGATCGTCTGTCTATCTGAGCGTTCTTCTGACGGCCCGGGAGTCTGTTCCGCTTGTCAGTCGTTCAGGTCGTTACAGACAATACTATACTTCGAATATAGTTCACGCCACTCCGGTGACTCTGGACTCAAACCGATCCACATCCGTGGCTCCACGCAGCGCGAGATAAATGCTCGAAAGAATGCAGGCTCGTTGAAGCCGGTTGGAAACGCGGAGAATTTCGCTCGATACTTATTGGCGGTCGATCCAGCACGGTGACGGAACTGAGATATTCTGTACATACACATCGAATGAACTCGAATAAAGCCACGTGTATCTAAATAATGTATTCGACAACGTATGTTCCCGTTATTTCGAGAGAATGCCCCTCGACCAGATCAGAACCTTGATTTGCACCCTTTTCGGGCGCGAAAGACTCGGGGCAGGAAAAGTAGGTACCGTCATGCAAGGCTCGCTGACTTCCGCTGCGTCCCCCAAGTAGGAAAATGAATGCGGAATTCACGGAATAGATTCGAATCTTCTTTCGGCTCGTTTCGCGCTCAAACCGATAGAAATGGAAGAGACTCATCTCACCTGACTGAAGTTACACATGACTAGAAATAATGATCACCTCACGAAAACCCCGACCTGTGGCGCTTATCGTATTGCACTAGAATTCCAAATACTGACGGCAGGAATCACATTTTGGTCTGCTGCAGCAAACCCGCTCGCTCGCTGTGCCCGTAGCAGCAAAACACTGTCGGCAAAGGAGCTCCGTTGCTCTGAGCCGTAGCTACGGGTCCGCGCCACAACAAACGTCACGAGAATTTCCGCGCATGGGCGGAACACTCACTTGTTCGCTGGGTGGCACACGGCCTAGCGGTTCGGCGGATTTGTTGGTAAGCTTACCCTCTTGCTGGGTCCTCGTGCTCGTGAGCGGTTTCACGAGCGTCATATGCTCAAGGGCAAACCACTCAACCTCAATTGGACGAAATAAAAATTACGGGAAGCATTAGCGGGGACAAAATCTCTCTGGTCCCGCTTAGGGCAATGTCCTACAATGCCGCACGTGTTTCTTCGGTTGGACAGCTGTGCGCTCATAAGCGTCGGGGTGACGCGAGCGAGTTCGGAATCTGCATTGGATATCAAGAGAAGGTGTTTGAAGCGAAAAATTCATTCTCGTCCCAAGACTCGGTAATATACCGTACGGATCGAGCTTCGCGCGTCGACAGGCTCCCGCAACGCTCAATTACTCGCATTCAGGAACCAATACAAAATGAGCATAACGTCTCCGTCCTGAGTGTGTACTCATCGTACATCAACGTTCGTTGACATCAGCTCCAAAGTCTTCAGCCAGAGACTTCCCGTAGAAGAGCACCGCAGCTCATGTAAGAGAATGTTGTCGGGTCATCGGCCTCTGAAAGAGAGGTTTCGCGCCGTAACGAGAATTATTTCATGAGCGATCCTCGCAGACACTGGCGACACTGAAAGCGGGGATTCTCTTATCGCCTCGTCGATCGGCAGCGAATAATCTCAATGAAGAAAAATCTCGACGCTCTTCATTTCTATCTGTTCTAGGCAAACACGCTACGACGTAGAATTCTCGGGAGTTTTTCGGAATTTTCCATCGTTAATCGCGCGCATCGAGCAAAGTGAGCCCCGTGAAACTCCGAATCACGCCCGGAAGGTCCCTCGCCATCGCGGGACCTCCGATGTGAGTGACACCGATGAGTTCTTCAAATGAGTCATCCCTTCTAATTGCCCATCTTGTCCGCCGGCCTGTGCGAATGAACGTGCGCGCTTAGCCACACCACCAGACGAGCTGCGGATACAGTGACTGGATGCCTAACTGAGTGGCTGGCTGGCTGGTTCAGTGTCTGACAATGGTGAATTCCGCGACGAAACAATAGAGCTGGCCCACTCCGCGGACGGGCCTGCAAACCCAGCTGACAGACACGAATTTCCACGGAGCCGTCCGTCGTTTGGCCGGTCGCTCCGTGGCTAGCCTAGTCCGAGCGCTCTGTTTCTCATTTTGTCTGCTCAGCCGCCGGATGAGAACGCCGGAGGCCCCATAACGTTGGATGACTCATGAGGGGATGAGTTCCGAAGTCTTGGGGTCTAGCGAGACCTTTCCGCCGTTTTTCAATCTTCCCGGCCGCCTCTCGGCTTCTGAATCCTCTTCAGACTCCAGACTGATCCCGGCTTGCCATCCGTGCTACTCGAGGCACCGAAGGCAACCTCATCCGACCCCTGCTGCCGAATGTATCGCATACACGTCATCGGCCGAAGCCTCGAAGTTTCCCGATGGACTTCTTCTGACTGCAGGAGTTCCCGCCTTCTCGATACCGATTCCGATATATAATATGAGGATGAAGATGATGATGATTCTCAACGTCGGGTGATGGAATCAAATGGACTGTAGACTCTCGGAGACATATATGTCGAGGTGAGAGAAGTTATTGAACAGAAAAGTGCGCCTTACCGCCAAGGAAATTAGGTCAAAGGCTCATCAGTTCGAAGTAGATCTAAATAGGAGCTCGAAAAGTCTCGCCATCCCAAGGGCAGCCGACAGATTCGCTCCGGTACGGGAGACGAGAAAAATTTATTCAAAAGTCCAATGAAAACAACGGTCTTGAGTGGATTCGGAATAGAGAGGAAACGAGACCTCAGCGGGGCGGAGAAAAGACGGCCAAGAACAAAAGAGAAGATTTGCTGGAGAAAAATGCGAGTGAACAAAACAAAAAAGACTGTCACCCTCGGTTTCGTCGCCTCGAGAGCTCAGCTGAGGACAAAGAAAATATCCATTCTCTCAAGTGTCTTGTCAGGTCTCTGAACATAAAAGAAATGGAGTGCACACTCCCTTCCCTTGCCAACAATTAAGCGAGACTTCGCCGAACGACTGGAAAATCGTGGGAGAAAGGCATCGCAAAACCTTCGAGGCGACCGAGAAAACCCGCCACGCGCTACCGAGACAATTTGATGATGAGCTCGGACATCTTCGCTCATGAGCAATGTACCCTCGTGAAGCAGGAAAACTCATCATGTCAGAAGTGGGGTTCGAACCCACGCCCTCTTACGAGGAGCAGAGCTTAAATCTGCCGCCTTAGACCACTCGGCCATTCTGACATGTCATGCCGAAGAGCCGATGAGCTCCCGAATCATAGCCATCAGGCGGCGTCAGCGGCAGAATAGCTGAAAGCGAAGTCCATTGAATTTCTACCTCCGGAAAAGACGAGAAGCTGCATGTTGTCGCTGGGAGTTCCCGATGAGGATCACGTCGAATCCTGAGGCACGACAAGACATTATTGAATGCGATGGAAGAGTTGTACTTTGCTTGAAAACACTAACAACGACCGAGCAAGTCCGTTCGGCTCGCGCTGATTCCGTCTTGGGAACGCGGGTCCCATAATTATGGGGTCGTGCGCATTTTCCATGATCGCATATATAATTTGAGTTCGGAGAAATCCTCTGCGGTTCATAGGAGAGCTCCCGGTCATCGATGTCGGAGGAAGCGAAATTGATTACACGTGGGTCACAACTCATTCACAACCCATCGAGAGTCGGAACTGGGACCGATGTTCCATCGCCCATCTTTCTGATTTCGGGCGTCAGACTCATACCCACACCCTGTGCCACACATGAGTCTTCCACAAACCCGCCCCCAGTTTCCAGTGCCGTCCCAGAGGTCTCCATCCCGACCTCTTCTAGAAAGATAGTGTGAACGTTCAGTCGAACCGCGCCCGAAATACAGAGTAGCCTTCTCTGCAATCGTTCCACCAAGCTCCCTTCCGGCCCAGGCGTGACGGTCCCACGGACCTGTGCCGCGGGTATAGGTTGAGGGACTTCCGTCGGCTATGACCTGAGACCTCAGGGCTCTTTTCCGGCACTCGCGCGAGAAGCGAGGTTCCAACAGAATACAAGCGAAATCGGGAGGAAATATCAGGCGAAGTCTCACAGAGCCACCAACCTCAGAATAACCGGCCACCGGGCTCGAACCACCCGCCCCCGCACAAAAAAATGCTACACAGATAGGAAGTGGTCATTGTGAACCTAGGTATATAGTCAGCGAACCCTTCTTAGCTCACGCAGATTTGTCGGTCGAATCAGCCTCGCGCGATAAGCTCAATTCAATATCTTGCTCTGGGGAGGAGCCGGCACCAGAATGGACTCAGTTGTATCGGAACGCTTTCAGCCTGCGGATCGGAATGGCGGAGGGTCTTTTGATTGCTCTCGCGTGAGCTGGAGCCATAACATTTCGACCGAATCACTGTGGAGTTTCGTGTCGCTCCGTTACTTTTCTTGGCACGCCGATCGGAGCCGCGCCTCTGATTGTCGATACGCCCTCGATGACGTGGTGAATCCCCACGCTTAAACCCGACATGAACCTCAACGGGCCCCAGCGTACGATCCAAGAACTTCGTGGTAACCTGAGATTCAAGGAAGAGGGGACGCTTCGGTCCACCTCTCCATTCGCTTCCAATGAGTGTAAGCCCTCCGCGCGTCGGAGTCTCTCAATGAGCATGAGTTCATATTGGCGAACGCAACTCGATGAGCGACGAGATCAATCCTCCTCTTATTATCATATCCGCGCTCTTGATGAGCAATTTCTCGGGAGAATCAATCAAGGAATTGTTCATGTGCCGCCTAGGTCATTTCCGGGGGCAGTTCTGTTCTTCGGATCCTCTCGAGTCTCGACTCCAAGTAAGTTCTTGGATTCTGAGAGGCAACCTTCCACAGAATTCCCAGTCGGCCTTAGGTCTCTCTTGCTTTACATCGCGCGTCTAACGAGAACTTCACACCCTCTTCAGAGGGAGCTACCGAAGATCGAACGGGATAGAGAATCAGCTGTCAGGAGGAACATCAGGAGATGACAGCGTCAAACGAAAAATGAGCTCGAATCCAATGAGATCTCGCTCATCGAGTACGTCCACCGACGAGAATCGAGAATAGGGGAGTCGAAATCGGGGAATCGAAAATCGGGGAATCGCGGCAGAACCCGACCGGAGGCCGGGCTTTGGAATTGTTTCTCTCCCGCGTGAACCCGCGCGAAGGCCCCGGAAATATGATCGCCCAGGCCCCAGGGAATGAGGGATTCCGGCCTTCCTGGTGAAAGAATGCAATGCTATATGACGGAATCTTTCTGCGGCTTCAGCCGGTGCTCGAGTACTCCTACAGAACCCGAGTTATTTTCTCCATGAATGCAATCTTTAAGACTGTGATCTGCAAACATCGAATCGTCGAGGTTCTCATCATCTCTCTCGAGACTACCGACACGAAAACCAGGACAAGAATCTTTTGTCACACAGGTAGACCATTCCGTCATGAGACAGTGGGAGCTGCAGCGGGCCAACGCTGCTCGGCGGAGCCGCCGCGAGGTTGATCTAAATCTCGCGATTCTCGTCCGTCGAACTCTATCATCCGTCATCGAAGTTCCCTACGCTTTCCTCGAGTCTCCTCCGTTTCCGCTGCCGTGACGATGGATGTGTCTTTTGCGAGCACCGAATACTCAGTCACGGGTCGAATACGGTAATCCTATGAATTCTAGCCTCCCGCGACAGTCCGAATCCAAATCCGATAATGGAGCTCTTGGATGATCATCTTATCTAGTCAAAAACACTGATGTGAATAGAATCCGTTGTCCGCGTCTCTCGACCAACTGAGGTCTGACTCCATACAAAGACGAGCGATCCCATTTCGGAGCTCGAGGTTCTTAGCCTGCGCTCCGATTGTGTCCGTGTCGAACCGTAGGAGACAAATTTTAGCATGGGCCTGCCTACGGCCTCATGGCGAGCGCTACTGGGTTCGTGGTGCTCATCGTGGTTTGTTCCCCGGTCAATTTGCCGCATCTACCGGACTCCGCGCGCTGCCTTCAAGCCAGAGCATTCTACCCTCGGTCATACGCGGTCTCGGTCACCAGTGTCGCTTCATAGTTATATGTCCATCCGTATGCTCACGAGCGCATCCGGTTCGAATTCGAACACGAAATTCAACGATCTCGGAACAATCCTCTACCCAAGTAGCACCAAAGAACTGGCGGGAAGCACCGCTGAGGGCTCCGGCTCACGATTCCGCTAAACGCGGTTCTCAGTCGTAGAATTAGGTCCTCTGACTTAGTTCCTACAGGTACGAGTGCTTGCCCGCACTGTTTTCGTTTTCTTGTGGCAGCGTCAGATTAATCTTGTCCGCGAGGGCTCAATTGCGAGTAAGCGACGTCTCGATTTTGCTTCGCTCTTATTAGATCCATGACGTAGTTGGGGCTCGAGACCCCTTGAATGATCGCACACAATGATTGCATCGATGTGGGCTTATACCTGAAAGCCGTCGGATACCGTCCCGGAACTTGTCCGCGAGATACGTACGCAGAGAACTGAAGAAACGAACAGACAGTGGAGTCTCAGGAGAAGCTCCTCGATACTTGAATCGTTCACCGATTCCTAGAGTCGCTCGGAAACTACGAGCACGGAATTATTGGTACTGCTTATTTTCGGAGTCTTCACTTTACGATCAATTCCAATCGCGATCATCCGGAAGGAACGGAGGAAGGATCATCCACGGAAATCTCCTCCCCCTTCCAGCAGATGGGGTCGAGAATTCGGAAAACTGCGTGATATTTATGCGCATTCCACTATCGGAGAATTTTTCCAACGAAGTTCTTCGATGGGATTTTAGCGACGGATCGAAACTCTCTCGTACCCTGTCCCGAGTCTTGGTCCCCTGACCAGCGTCTAGTCGATATCAGAGTTTCCCCGAGAATCATATTTTTAGAGAATGCTGATTGATTCGGGCTTTATAGACGGCTTTAATCTGAACAGACCATTTATCGGGAGAAGCACTTCCGAATAGCGGGGCTGGGGAGTGATGTCCGGAACCCGTAAACCGGTCGTTCTGCCGTACGACCCTCCCTCCGGAGGGAGCGAAAGATCTCGGCGGAGAGTACAATTGTGTACAGCCGGCGTAGGCACTGGAAGAGGGGCACGAATCGTCAAAATGCTGCCCCGAGATCCTCGAACTGAGGGATGGCCCCTGGTAGGGAATCCACTCGGAATCATCCTGCTCCTCGTGGTCTATGTGTTGTTAGTGACGAAGATCGGTCCCCGATGGATGGAACACAGGAAGCCTTTCAATATACGGAATTGGATAGCAGTGACGAACGCCATTCAAGTGTTTTTCAACGCATACTTCTCCTACCAATTCATGAAGCACACCTACATATACGGAGGATACAACATATGGTGCCAAGGAGTCTCTCTAGTCGTCAACGAGCAAGGAGAGCGTCTCGCCTCTTTGTGCTGGTACTATCTCATGGTGAGGATCGGTGATTTCCTCGATACCGTGTTCTTCGTGCTGCGGAAGAAGTTCAGCCACATAAGTTTTCTACACGTCGTGCATCACGTGCTGGTCGTTTTCAACGGATGGTACGGACTGACGTATGGTTTCGATGGGCAAGCGATGCTCAGCATATGCATTAACAGTTGTGTGCACATACTCATGTACACCTATTACCTCTTGTCGCTCTTCAAAATCAGCTGGTTGGGCCGAGTCAAGCCGTACCTGACAATCGTTCAAATCTCGCAGTTCTGCGCCATCTCCTTGCATTCTCTCGTGCCATTGTTCCTCGAATGTGGATACCCTGTGCAACACACGATATTGATTCTCGGCGAAGCGCTTTTCTTTTTAGCGCTCTTCCTCAACTTTTACAGAATGGCGTACAGCAGAAAGGGAGCTCATCCAAAGGGAGCTTGAAACGAAAGGGGAATGTAGGAAAGTGTGAGTGTCGATACGAAGCATCGCCGACAAACTGTGGAGCTCCTCATCTCCGGAGGGAAGCCTCCGGGGAACGTATTTCGTGCAGTGACTGTTTTGAGTTTTCCTGCTCCTTGTTCACGATATCGGTGCGATTTATACGAGAACAATCAAGATAGCGACGTTGAACATGTATTTATACTTCTTAGACATTGTATCAAGCCAAAGCGCATGTCTCGGGAAGGTCTAATAAAAACTTCTCTGTGAAACAGTCTCGTTGATTATTAGAGTCGGAACACGCCCATGAATCATGAGTACTGGGAGCTGATTTCGCCGTGAGAAACGTTTCCCCGTCGTCCAGCTCTCATACAGCGTAACTATTCGCCCCGATAGACGTCATCGGCGGAGGAAACGGGACTTCGGCCATCCGGAATGGTAGCTGCTCGCTACTAGCTCATGCAAATTAGAATGTGGCGAGGAAACAAAGCGAGGGAGGAGTTGTCGGTTGAGGTTGTCGCGTTGGACATGCACTGGACAGGCATGGGTGGCGTATTTTGAGTTGGGGTACCCCACGAAATACCAAGAGAGCACGCAATCCCAAACGGCGGGTAGTTGGGAAGAATCTCCCCTCGCGCAAAAGCGAGTCGTGAACTCGAGGTGACGAGGCGGCGAGATTCTCGCACATGGCGAATGAGTGAAACTGCATGCGGCGGCAGGGAAGTTCAACAGAGATTCGCGGATCGAGGGAAGTACAGCAAGATTGGAGATGTACAGCAAGATTTGCTGGGAAAGTTCTCGTTGTGAGTTGCGGGCTGCTTTGGTGACCTCTATCCCGGGTTTCGGTGATGGCAGCAGACACGGAAGAGTCGGGAGACGGATCCCAATCGCAAGTGTACCCCGACGGCACGATTGCCCGTGAAAAGAGAGCAGCCAGGGCAGAATCTCTATCGGGAAGAGATGCGCAGCAGACAAATCGCATGATGTCCGACTAAAGGCAGCACGAGAACGATAGCGTATTTCTTTCCTCGAATCTCGGAAGCTGTGAAAAATCCATTCCCGTCTACCTGTTCCAGATTCACGAGGCAGATGTCTTCTCTGGTAGACCCTCAGCTTATCTGGCTAGAAAAGCTGCGCCGATAAGCGCCGATCGATGCGAAGCCCCCAGCTCGAGAGCATTCCCTTCCGTGGTGTTTTGCTCCGAATGATGTTGGTCGGTTGTCAAGTTTAATTGTGACCAAGTATCCTCTCTCGCTGGCGGGCTGTTCGAGTCGCGAGCCCTGGGTTTCAACAGAGGGCCCTGGTGAGAGGAATTCCCCTTTTCACGTGCCACTGATCGCGATGCCACTGCGAGCTGTGCTGGCCATTGGTTCAGCGTTCTCCAGTTCGGTCGAGTTTGACGAGCGGTGCGGAGATGTTCTCGGTCGTGCTGAGAATCGAGGTCTGAGTTGAACTCAAAGCGCTCCCACGAAGGTAAGAAAAATCGACGGAATTCGCGAGAGCGCGGCTCCGACTCAGGGAGCCTCGCAGCCTCCTCATCTCTCGAAGCGTCGGAGGATACCCTTCAGGGAGTTCCTCGATTGAGGCAATGCCCTCAATGAGATCGAGGAACCGATTTTGAGCTCTGATCAGGCACTAGCCGTGGTTAGAATAAGAAGCTCCTGATCCAGCTTCGGATTCTTCGGCAGAGATCGGGGGTCGCTGAGTGAAAAGTCGTTGGGTATCATACCCTCTGCCATCTTCGCGTTGGCCTTGTGTTTCATTCGCAGTGACCACAGTGAATTCTTCTCCAGAGGAAGATATTGGCGATATCGAGCCAAGTTTCCCTCAGTACCCACTGCCTGGCCCTTGGACCTTCCGATCAGAGTTAGATCGCTAGCCCATTGGAGCTGTGATCGCTCCGCGAGTTCCTCTAACCCCACCGAATCAGCTCTTTGGAATCGAAATTATTGCTCTCGCTCTCCTCGTGAATGGTGCGGCTCGAATCGATCCGGAAACTCGATCCGGGAGACAATGCGCGAATCAAGAGGGAAACCTCGACGGGACGAATTATACCCCGACTACCGTCGGAGAAAACTTTGCCACTGTCCGCTTTGGAGAATTAGGCCACTCGATACGATAAGCGAGGGTGTTTTGTTTATCTATGATTCGTCTCAGGGTTTTGGACAGCTGAACAGTCAACCACCCACTCCGTCGAGAGTTGCGGGCCGCGGGACATCGTTTCCTTGTTTATTTTTGGCTTTCTCTGGTCGGAGCTCCTCTTCCTGTTGTCTCGTATTGTTGTCAGCAATTCGTTCTGGAATAAATCTTCGATCGGTCGCTCGCTCACTCTCACTGAACTGCATCCTATGTGTCTGACAAGAGGCTTTCCGCGAGATCGTTCTGAGGCTTGTAGGTCGGAAGTAACACTCCCGGGTAACAGGTTATGACTTACCTATCCAGTGTGGTTGCGGTGGTTCCCCAGAAGAATCTCCGGTCGGCTGGAGTGGGACATTGACCCGGAAACGAACGTTCCCGATGAGAATTACGAGAATGAGAACCTGGTCGAGTTTTCTTTGGAGTTTATCTCTGAAGTGCCGGAGGTGGCGTGGGCGGCATCCCCGGCCTCGCTCTCTCGTACAATGTAGGTTGCTAACTCGATAAGCACAGCCTAAGGAGACTCGATAAGGACACCATACAAGGAGCCGTAATTTCTTCACTTCGAGCTAGATGTCGTTATGGATGTCCAATCGCCAGCAGTTTCGGCGAGACGTAATTTGAGCTCCGCACAACTATTGTGCAGACTCTCTACGCTCCTTATTGCTGAGGATGTTGCTCCTCTCGGAGGGATTTGAGGACGACTCCCGTAAGCAATCGATCGACGCTCCATGTGAAAACGGGCGGTATCGGCTCTTAGTTCCCCTATTCATAAATTATATAGGGGAAACGTCCGTTCTTCGCTTCATCGCTTGGAACCCTAATTCGGAAATTCAGGCGAGGGTGACTTCCGCTTTTCCGAAGTTTGGAGTGTCATGTGTGGAATGATACCACCCGTCCGTCTCTTCAATCTTACCGACTGGATTGGGAATGGGCTCGCGGACAAGTGAGAGAGCAGCGTCACGAAAATCTCGCAAAATGATTCGGTTATGATCTCGCACCACGAAAGTGTTGCCGTTCACGAGAACGCTGAGTTTTCTCTGAGCACATAAGAGCTTTGTGTAAACGATGTTGACCTTCAGCATTTCCTCTATCTCGGAGTGTTTGTTTCAAACAATCTGATCGCGTCGATGCTCATTCAAGAGCTGGGTTCAATCAAGCCACGATCCGTTTGATGACCTCATCGTCTGGGGATCCGAATTCCGGCAACGCTGTCTTGTTTCCAAGCAGCATAGACTCCCCATGAGCCCAATCTGGTCGCCCGCGACGGTATCTGCTGCAGAGTTTGTTATTCCAGTTGTTGAGAGTGATATCATCAAGACCGTTTCAATCGTACAACAAGTCGCGAACAGCTGCCTTCTTCCTTCGAAATGGTCGAGGCTGTGGCGTCAGCTCGTTCTGCTCGTGCGGAGAGGAGAAAAAAGTGGCCTCCGTGAAAGATCCATGCGCGGGAGAACGAGTCGAGAGAGCGGATTAGAGACTGGACCTTCTCAAGGTCCTCTTGGGCCCTCGTGAGCCGCGAAGAAGACGCCAAGGTGCGCCGGGCGGGAACATCACCTTTCGATCAAGCTCGAATTTGAAGAGCGCGTGAGGAGAAAGTCAATTCTTCCGCTTTGTAGAGCAGCACAAAGCTCTACTGTAGAGTCGACTCGTTCTACAGAACGCGATAGACCACCAGAGAGACGGGCGTGTTCGCCGCTCGGTCCGTCTACCTGCTTGCCCGTCTGAGGGCCTGCTCGCCGGCCTGTATAGGCCACGGACGTGGGCGTACGAGGCCTATGACTAATTATCAAGGCCGTACGAAAGCTCAGTGTTATGCAAGTCAGGACTCGATCGCTCATCGAACCAATAAACGAGCTCCTGATCTTGGTTGTGGTACACCATTCGCTCCCATAAAAGGGCAGAATATTCTCCATTTGCAGCTACTTTCATCGGACAGCTGTTCGCGTGAGAAGAGACTCGAATATTTGATCACCTCGCAGCTCGGGCAGATCACGCGTCTCATAGATGGTTCGAATTCGGGCATTCCATGCAGCTGATGCTTTTGATGGATTTACAAAACTTCATGTCATTCCGAGCTTCTCAGTCTTGAATTTGAGTTTCCGAGGCAGACATTTCCGTTGGGAGAGGATGTCGGTTCTCCCCCTTCTCTGAGCCCTGGATGGATTCCGGACCCACGCAGGAGCTCCACGCTCGATCCCTACGGAAATCCCACCTGGATCTAGGTACAACTCCGGGGAGTTAAAGATATCAGAATGAAATAGAAAAATTATTCCTCCTCCTTGCAGATGCATCCACCTGCACCGTTGTCGCCCCGAAACTACTATAAATACTCGCCCGTGTCACCGACGGAAGCGAGTAAACCATTCCATTCCCGCAGGACGTGCTCGCCGTTCTCTTATGGAATTCATCCGAATAGTCCAGTTCTACAGAAGAGAAAAATGCTCGCCGAAAGCTCATACGTCACCGAAGGTGTGGGCAAGCGGCCACCGGGAGAGAGTGATCTGAGGAGCATCGAGCCCGAATAGTAAGTGACGATCGTTCGCTCTTCCTCGACCGAGATTACCCGTTTCTAAGAGGACAATCCCCTCGCATCCCGCTCTTGGAGACAGCGACGGCAAAGAGTGGAAGTCTCCCATCCCACCATGTGAAGCGTGGTGTAACAAAAAAATTCTCTATGGAGTTCCCACCGATAGCGTCAGATGCACTTAGCCGGAGGAACCATATGTTGACTAGGATGCCGCGGCGACGTCGGCACCACCGCCGCGTCGTAAATCTGTCCTTTGGTCCTTTCCGACGACGACGACGCTAAGAGCCTAACCGAGGCTCAATCGACGCCAGTTTAGCGGCAGTGCATTGAGCACTCCGACGATTGCTCACTCACCGAGTCCGACTCTCGTCCGATATTTTTCGGCAGCACAGAGACTCCTCTTCATGTTTGTAAATGGTCGATTCGTCGAAAAGATTGCCTAGCGGTCCCAAGAACGCGCGTTTTTTTTCTATTCGCTTTTCTTCATTCCGAAGAGAAGGTAACTCACTCGGAGGGGAGGGCTCTCTCGGTGCCGCTGATCGAATGCTGCCACTCGTCATTAGCGTTCCAATGCTTCAACCTAGCACTATTCTGGTCGTCGTCAAGGACGATCGGGCCGCGGTGCTCCACTGGTGAGTCTCGGATCTGAAGAGTTCCGCGAAATCCTCCTTCTCTGTTCGATATCTCGCGCATGGCCGCGTGCTTCAGGCTCGGAAAGAGCTCTAGATCTCCGACGGTCTTCGGTGTCATAATCTTTGTGGTTAGCCAATCACGAATCGTAGTTTTAAGTGTGGACGCGTGGCACCGAAGCGTGCGAAGGATTAGGGAATTTCTCCGAGACGGATTAGAGATGAAGGAAGAGACCAGAAGGATCGATCGGGAAGCGGATTCGCTCGACCGATGGCTTCGCGTATCCGAAGCGATTCAATTCGATGAGACGAACCCGCGACCTTGAGCGCCGTGTCGCATCGAGACGAATGCCATGCCTTTCGTATCTGTCAATCTGTCTGTCTTAATCAAGGACTGAACTCTCAATTCCTTAAAAACTGGCACCGAACGACGTTCCGCGTCCTTAACGGCTGCCCGCAGCGATCGTAATGGACACGGTTCTGTAACTACTCGTTATCACTGGTGATGAGCCGCGAATAGCTTTTCCCTTCCACAAGTTTCCGCTCGAAAGGCTTATCTCACGCGCTCGGGATGAAGACACCAATCGGAATGCCTCTTCCGTCTTCGAGGTTCTGGATGCGCTAATACGTCCTCAGCGAATCTCCATGATAATCTGACACTCGCACCGGACCTCGCAAAAATTGAAATCAATGGAATCGTGTTATCTGGTTCTTCACATGAATTCGGAAAAAAATCACCTACTCGAGCCGATTCTCGAGATCATGGATTCATGTACTGGATTTCGATGCTTGATCCGCGCTCTATCAGTGCGGTAATTCGATTCGCACTGGCGACCGCAACGGAACCGCACCGTCACAGATTCCAATGTGTTTAATTGGATTTATTTTCCGATCGTTACAGCGAGTACTCGCCTTCAAACTGGCTTGAGTGGAAGAAACATATCCTGGCTCAGAAGCAGACCGACGACGACCGAAACTCATACAAACGAAGAACTGAGGGTCGTCTTCTCAATGAACTCAAATACTCTCTGGACGCCGAGACCGACGGTCCCGGGAAACCTGTCGTCACGATTATCAAAAAAGACGAGACCATGTCTCGGAAAATTCAGCCTCCGGTGAGTATGGAAATTCGGAGCTGTCACAGCAGGTCGGGCGAAGAGCCCTCGTCACGTTTTCATTTTTCGGATCATCTATTTCCAGCAACACGCCGCTCACACGATGCCGTACGCTCAACGAGCCGCGATCTCGCCGAGGTCTCCCGTCGCCTCCAGTCCGCGACCCGCGCTGAAACGTCAGACCTCGTTGCCCACAAGGTCGACGTATGCGCAACTCGAGAGAGAGGAGCGGATGCAGAGGGAACGTGAGGAGGAGTTCGTCCGACCAACAACCCCTACCCGATTGGTGAGCCCCAGGATCGTCGATTGCATATGCTCAGGCCCGGAAATTATTTTCAATTCTCTCACCGGGACGGGAAATTTCTCGATGGCCAGATTCCACACGCATTCCCCGCTAAGCGAGAGAGTCGCTCCGGTAGCTCACACAGTCTCGGTGAAGCTGCCAAACAGCGATTCGATACGGAAGAGGGAAATTGAAACACGGGAAAACAGCCGGCCTGATAAAAAAAATACATATATTCATGACGACTCGTCATTATTCTGTAGTCGTGACGGGTCGTCTCCAGATACCGCTACCCTTAACCGGAGTGAAAGTGCTCCTCATGGCAACGCGCTCTCTTCTGCCACAGCCGTTTCGCGGTCTATCCGTCCATAGACATCAGTGCTCCGGTGCGTGCTCTGTTCTGCTTTCGTCTACCGTATATCGCGTGATGTTGTTTTCATGCCGACGTTCGGACTTATTCTGTCCAGATACGGGGACTCCCAATATTTGGTGAAAAGCTCCGTGGGAGCTTCTACCGCAGCCCGTAGAGTGGAGCATCGAGGAGAGAAGCTTTACTGCCTTTGGAAGTGTTCCGGAGTGAAACATGTTTGTTAATGTTCTCTCACAGATACCGGACCCGGGTTCCATCCTGGGCTTTCACGGGTAGGTTTCTCTTCTATGAGCGCTTTTCTCCGCGTCCGAGCGGCAACCGCCCGACGGGGTTAGACCTAGAACAGGTTGACACAGCTAACACACGAACAGAGCCGTCGTCGTCGTCCTCGGGCGTTTGGCACAATTCCAGTCGCTAGTAAAACATCGTGGTAAATCATTTGGTCAGCGCTCCGATGATCAAGCAGGGCTTCTCCGCGAAGTTCCGACGGATGTCCTCACTACGATGGAATATTTCACTCCGGGAAGACCCAGTCCGTCCAAGATGGACCGATTCCGTACGGGACGATCATGGACATCGATCTTCTTCGCCGAAGGATGGAGGGGCATTTATATGAAAAATAAAAAAGGTCGCGAGGACTCGAGCTGTGGAGGGGAACTGTGCAGTAGGGTCCAGACATCAAACTCACTCGGAGCGGTCGGAAGGCCCCCCCGATCGCTTTGCATAGCGTTTGTCTCTAGCTGGGTGAGAATATTCACGAGCTTCGGGAGCGCACACAAAGCATTGAAATGTTTCGATCGTTCGAGCGGTACATGCGAACGGGCGAGCGAGGCCGCCCGAGGTGACATATCGATGCTCGTGAGATCCGCGCGAGTATTTTTTTTTCTCGCCCGCGGGCGGGCCTCCGATGATAAGCAGGTTCACAAAAGACGACAACACACCAATTTTATGACAGAGAACGCGAGAGAGAGTCGAGAAGGGGACAAAGTTGCTCGAACTTGAACTTGGTGAGCGCTCAGTTCAGGTGACCTAAACCTGCTGCGTCGATGATTGCAGATCGTGCCTGAGATAGTCCGCCAGATGAACGAAATTTCGGACAAACAGAAACAAGAACTCGAGCGAAGTGAATCCCTGAAACATCGCACGAGAGCCCGGACTCCACCTCCGTTCAGGCGATCGCAGTCGCGGAGTCCAGTGAACACGTGAGTGATTATTCAGATGGGGTTTCGATTTGAACCTCAGACTATACCGAAAAATGAACTAAAGAATTAATTCTTGTTGGTTTCCGATGTTTTGATTTTCGTATGGTTCTTACATCTCCATGGTGAATTTTCCAGATTGCGTTCGTCCTCACCCGAGAGAACGTATCGGTCGGTGTCTCCGCACGCTCTCGCGACTCTCCACGCAGTCAACGAAAGTCTTTTGAAAACAGCTGAGCATCTATCAGCGTCTAACGAGAAACTCCACCGATTGACACCGGAGAGAGTGTCGCCACCGAAGTAAATTTTTCCTCTTGGAATATCATCCCGATAGGCTTTCTCAACTCTTCTCGTCTCTTTGCTCATGCGTCCGGAGCAGCGTCTGGGGCGAATTCGTAGCCTCTGCCTAATATAGTCGAAACTCGGAGCTCGTGCTTCTCATCATGAGACCGCTTCCTTCAGAAATCGCATTCTCATTTTTCAGGCTCATAATCCCGGTGTCTTCGGAACCGCTAAACATGCCGAGCTCCGTGACATCGGCTCACTGGTACCGTCCGAACATGACCCGTGACGCTGCCATAGAATTCCTCAAGGACAAACCTCCCGGCAGTTTCATAGTCCGAGACAGCACGAGCTATCCTGGTGGTTACGGACTCGCCATGAAGGTCCCTGATCGAGGGGAGCACAAAACTCCGGAGGAATCGGTGAGTTCTCTCGACGAAAGTTCACGGAATGGTCAAGAAATTAGTCCAAGTCGCTGACTCGGGGGCTTGGGAATGGACACCAGGACAGTGAAGGAGAGTCGTTCTTCGACTCGAGAAGCTCCATCGGAGAAATATTCCCCCGAGAGAGCGTGAGCGCGTTTTCAATCTACAGAGCATGATGATTCCTACGGAATTAGGGACCGTCGTTTCAGGTGCGCCATTTTCTCATCGAACCTGCACCAGGTGGTGTCCGTGTCAGAGGCTCAGACATCGAGCCGATTTTCGGTTCTCTCAACGCCTTGGTTTACCAGCACAGCTTGACACCTCTGTCGCTGCCCTACCGATTGCTACTCACCGATGCCCCCATCGAGCCTAAGAGCGCGGAGAAACTTCTACAATCGCTCGTCGGCGTTGTTCCGGACTACGGCAAAGGAGTCGCCTTCATAGTGATCTATCTCGGTGAGTTCTGACCCCTCTAATCGGAGTTCGGCGAGGGCGAATACGGAATACTTCCGATTATACGGTTTTTGCGGAGACTTGAACTCAACGACAAAAGCTGGACGGAACGCTCCACTGTTGAAAGGGCCCGCTCCTCGACTCTCGGAACGGGCTGTCGAAAAAGATTGAGCTTGATTCCATATTGGAGCCCAAAACTAACTCGAATGTTCCGATTGGAAGGCTCCCACGAGATCGGAATGTTGACGGGTCCACACGCCGTCAAAAACGGCTTCGACAATCTCTTCGCTGATCGACGGAGCAAAACTATCCCGACGGCTGCTGTGGTTATGAAAGTTAATGGCGAAGGCATCACGCTCACCGACCATGAGCACCGGTAGGCCTCCTCATGGAAATCTTCCAGATATCGTATTCCGAGGAGGGTTTCGGCTCGAGAATGTTTTTAATTTCTCGCATCAACGGAATCATCTGAATTTCTTCAGGCTGTTCTTCCGGATGCATTTCCCCATGAAGAATTTCCGATATTGCGAAATGGACCCCGCACACCGGCACTGGGAATGCCGCGACGAAGTCTCCGGCGACAGCAGAGCACCGAGGTAGAGTCCACGTGACCATTTCGCGTTTATCCTTTCATCGGTGGAGCCCGCTTACCATTTGCGTGTAATTGTAACAATATGGGATAGTGCTCTGGTGATTCATCCCGAATCAGTCGGTCATGACGGAGTGAATGCTCCTCATAGCCTCTCTAATTGGAGAACCGAATTCCAGCTGTTTCGGCATCGTGTGTTCCTCCGCCACGGATCCATTGGTGAACGAATGCCACATGTTCGCCGAGTTCGAACAGCCCGCCAGCCTTCTCGTCGAGGAGATCAGACGATGGAACGAAAGGTCCTTCTGAGCGAAATCGAAAAGAAGAACGAAGGAGATACATCAACCCTTTTTCTACCGAAACTGCCATTTGAGAGGCCAAAACTCTATAGACACCATAATCACATCCGGAACGAAGCATACGATAGCCACACGAGTCACTATTTCACTCTCTTTTATCTGAGCCCCCTCCCCCACTTTTGAGAACAGCCTCTAGCGCGTTCTTGTATTATTTCCTTGAACTCACCAATAAAAAACGGAAACCCAGCACCACCAGCGCGGCGACCGGCGACGCATACGCCAAAGCTTCCCCACCTAATATCCACGGCACATGGAGATCTATCTAATGTAAAATAAACGGAGAGCAGTAAATTACACAGCTCGACAAAAAAAAACTTTTTTCGCGTTACAAAGAAAGTGGAAGCTATTTCGGGGTAAACCGGGGGCGCTGAATCCGAATTTCTTAACAGATTTTGTCCATCAGGTCCAGTTTTTCCGAAATTTCACTTTTTCGATTTTTTGCCATTTTTCGTCTTAAAAAAATTCTAGCTCCGCCCCTGAGTGGCTTAGATCGATGAAACTTTGGTGGCGGATAGACCTCGGTTGGAGCTACACCTGGCCGAGTTTTGGTGCAATTCGTCGCAGTGGTCTCTGAGCTAGAGCCATCGGCAACTGAAAAAAAGAAGAAAAAAGTGGGAGAGGGACCTCTTAAAACGCATTTGACGGAAAAACTAGGACCTTTGAAGCGGTCTGACTTCGACAATTCGATAGAGGAGGCTTTTACGAGCATTTTGAGACCAAGCAGAGCGAAATCGGTCGATCCATTCAGTTTTTATTCGCAAAAAACATTGAAAATTTGAAAACGCCTAAAAGTCGGAATTCGTCTGTTCCGGCTTTTAAGCAGAAGCTTCGACCGTTGGGCCGTTGGAATCTTCCGTAAAATCAGCGAGGTCGATCAATCCGCATCAAATCGAGCCGTCAGCGATTGTCTGGAATGTGGTCGATCAGGGGCTTCCCTCATGAGGTTCCAGCAATAGTCTGCCATCATAGACTCATCCCACCTCCCTTGGTATCGCTACTCCATGGTGCTGATGTCTTGATGGAACCTTTCGCCTTGCTCGTCGCTCATTGACCCTAAATCTTCAGGGAATAGATCAAGATGGGCGTGGAGATAACACAGCTCGACAGCCAAATCGTTACAAAGAAAGTGATAGCTATTTCGGGGTAAACCGGGGGCGCTGAATCCGAATTTCATAACAGTTTTTCTCCATCAGGTCTAGTTTTTCCGAAATTTCAATTTTTCGATTTTTTGCCATTTTTCGTCTTCAAAAAATTCTAGCTCCGCCCCTGAGTGGACTAGATCGATGAAACTTTGGTGGCGGATAGACCTCGGTTGGGGCTACACCTGGCCGAGTTTTGGTGCAATTCGTCGCAGTGGTCTCTGAGCTAGAGCCATCGGAAACTAAAAAAAAGAAGAAAAAAGTGGGAGAGGGACCTCTTAAAACGCACTTGACGGAAAAACTAGGACCTTTGAAGCGGTCTGACCTCGACGATTCGATAGAGGAGGCCTTTACGAGCATTTCGAGACCAAGCAGAGCAAAATCGGTCGATCCGTTCAGTTTTTATTCGCAAAAACATTGAAAATTTCAAAACGCCTAAAAGTCGGAATTCGTCTGTTCCGGCTTTTAAGCAGAAGCTTCGACCGTTGGGCCCTTGGAATCTTCCGTAAAATCAGCGAGGTCGATCAATCCGCATCAAATCGAGCCGTCAGCGATTGTCTGGAATGTGGTCGATCAGGGGCTTCCCTCATGAGGTTCCAGCAATAGTCTGCCATCATAGACTCATCCCACCTCCCTTGGTATCGCTCCTCCATGGTGCTGATGTCTTGATGGAACCTTTCGCCTTGCTCGTCGCTCATTGACCCTAAATTCTCAGGGAATAGATCAAGGTGGGCGTGGAGATAATGAACCTTGATACTCATTCTACATCCGAGAATGCGGAAGCTTTCTACAAGTCTCTGCACCAACTCCACGTAGTTGGAAGCTCTCGTGTTCCCCAAGAAGTTCGTGGCGACTGAGACGAAGGATTCCCAGGCGGCGGCTCCCTCCGGGTTGATCGATTCGATGAAGTTTGGGCCCTTCATGAGTCGCCGGATCTGCGGCCCGTTGAGCACTCCCGCTAGCAGTTTCTGTCTGCTCACGGGACGGAGCTTCTGGGCTATGTATTCGAAGCTTAAAAGTCGGCACAGACGAATTCCGTACTTTAAGGCGTTTTTGAAATTTTTCAATGTTTTTTGTGAATAAAAACTGAACGGATCGACCGATTTTTGCTCTGCTTGGTCTCAAAATGCTCGTAAAAGCCTCCTCTATCGAATTGTCGAGGTCAGACCGCTCCGAAGGTCCTAGTTTTTCCGTCAAGTGCGTTTTAAGAGGTCCCTCTCCCACTTTTTTCTTCTTTTTTTTAGTTTCCGATGGCTCTAGCTCAGAGACCTCTGCGACGAATTGCACCAAAACTCGGCCAGGTGTAGCCCCAACCGAGGTCTATCCGCCACCGAAGTTTCATCGATCTAGTCCACTCAGGGGCGGAGATAGAATTTTTTGAAGACGAAAAATGGCAAAAAAACGAAAAATTGAAATTTCGGAGAAACTATACCTGATGGAGAAAAACTGTTACGAAATTCGGATTCAGCGCCCCCGGTTTACCCCGAAATAGCTATCACTTTCTTTGTAACGATTTGGCTGTCGAGCTGTGTTATTAATCAGAAGATGGAGAATAAACGGGAGAGGTCAATGTTTGCCGAACAACTCGTTTTTTTTTCCCCCTTGCGCGGGAATCGGGATGAAGAATGGTGAGCATCGGCAGAGTTTTTCCCTGCGCACACCGAGCACGTTTCGAGGTTCAGATGCGCGTTGGAGGGGAAATACATTCTCGACAGGAGGAGCTGTGCTGGGCGAACGTCCAGATGTGCCTTACTCTTGGCGAGAAAGCCTGCCCGCCGGTGCCCGAAAAACGTGACCTCCGACCAGCAAGCCAACCAGAGAAGGAATGGCGTCCAGTTCTTGTGCTGTGTCACGTAACCCCAACATCGGTAAGACATCCTCACGGGCAGAAAGAGTCCCCGAAGTCTTCCGCGCACATCTCTCCAAGCTGTTGCTCAATCACAGCAGAGGAATATCGGTGGAGAAGTTCGCCGCCTACTTCAAGCATTCGAGCAAGGAACGCATCAAGTTCGAGCTATATGGTTACACTAGCTTGACAGAAATGCTCGAGGATCTACGAGATGTCTGCGAAGTACAGAAGACATCGCAGAGAACAATGCTTTTCGCCGTGGACGACGCACTGAAGCTCCGGAATCGCTACCGACTGGACAAGAGGGTGCAGCCGACCACGAAGCCCGAGCCGGACGCCCTCCAGAAATTCGTCACCACGCTTGGCGAACTGATCGTCCTCAGAAAGAACGGCGATCTCTATGCACCGACTTGTTCTCTAGCGCAGCTGGCCGGCTTCACGAAAGATACAGTCCTCCAAAGCCTCGAAGAGGATGGGATCAGGGTCAAGGGAGTCCACTACCTGACCGTTGGAGATCCGCACCACGAGGAACTCCGTTTGAAGATCGCCGTCTGGTGCCCGCTGGCTTGCTCGGAAAACGAGCAGATCGTCGAGGTAGGTTGAGTCATCATTTCCCGCACGAGTCCGGTTCGGCTCCCAGCAGCAGGTGCCGCCGCCTCCAGCGAACTTTGATGAATGAGTACGGCTTACTATCCGGGAGGCTTTATCGAAGAGGGAAATGAGTCATTTCTGGAGAGCACTCCGATGCTGGGGTGTTGTGAGCCAATCACCGACGGCGCTCTATTCCAGAAAATCGCTCTCGTCCCCCTAAAGAGCTGTAACTTCATAGTGGCAGCTCTGAGCCCCGATATACCCCAGGACAACGCCGTACGGAAGCTCAGAATCATATCCAGCTTCAAGATGACTCGAAACTGAGATCCGCGCGTTCACCCCCGTGGAAATGCTTCCACTGGGAAAATCTGCTCCGGATCTGTGAATTTATACCCATGTCCCAGAAGAGCCGTTCATTTCAACGAATGACGTTCTTTTATGCAGACCGGAGAAATTTCCCAGAGGAGCCCAGAATGCCCTTTCTATAGTTCATAATTTCGACGTGCGGAGCAGGGATGTGTGTGAGCCAATATTCGTTTTCTAATGTTTGTGGAAAATCTCAAATTCTCTCTTCTCAAGGTTCAATCCCTAACTGGAGCGTAGTTTCTCCGGTTTGGGTTCAGCAGGCGACACTCTCGCCTGGAACGATGTCTCTGCCATTAGGTACGCGGATTCTCGACGAGATTCAGTTAGGTCGTACGAAACGCTATAAGCCAATACGACAGATCTTCTGCGTCTGATCTAAATTAACTACGCGACCGCTCCGTCGCTCAACGCGATGCGAGTTGTCCTCTTAATGTCGACCTTAATAAAGTGAATATCATAGACACCCAAGGACTCCTCTCCGGAAATACCGAAGTAGCATGCGGGGGAACTTCGTCCTTCTAGAAGCGAGAAGGGAGCTATTGGAGCTCATGATTGACAGTGCTGATCTGAATCCCACGATGGCGCATTCTGTCTTCAGCTTCACTCTCCTCCGAACGAGACCGGTGCAGTTTGTGACGAAGCTCAACACTCGATTCTGGATCCAGATTCTCAGCCTCTGCCAAGTGCACATGACCTGGATTCAATCATGATCATGAAGTTGTTGCTCCGCCTTCATGAATTAGAGAACGGACGTATCCGGCAGTTTCGTCCCATGACATCGCATCGGACGACTCCTTCCGATTTCATGAGGCCGTACAGTCTCCGTAATTCTTGCAGATGAAGGTAATCTGGTAAGCTGTCTTCACTGTTTTCTTGCTGAGTCCGGCTTCTTTATTATGTTAGCTTATGATCAATAACAAGAGTATATTCACGAAACACTATCAGTCTTCATCGACAAACTTCTCACGAAAGCCATGTGCTGGCCCAAAACATCCTGAGCCTCGTTCTCTTCCTTGAGCCCTGTGGTGAGCTCGTCGAACTCGTGGCCTGAGGAACAAAAAAATCACATTACGATCAGAGCCTCCTCATCTGAAGCTCGGGTGTTCGCCGGCATCTTTCGTTCAGTCTTTGAATCGCATTATTCTGCTCAGAGAAAATTTTCAGACATCAGTGCGCGATGGAAAAATGACACTTACCGACAGTCCACAGGCTTTCAAGATCGTACTTCTCCCGGGTGGGCGCGTCGAACAGGTGGAGGACGATATTTCCGAAATCTATGAGTTTCCATTCACTGCAGTTTTCTCCCTCTATCTTCAACATGGGATCCTTTGGATATTTTGTTTCCTTATACTGTGGAGCGTGGAGGAATCATTAGTTTTCAATCGTTCGAAATCAGTCTTCACCGCTCCGCACGGCTACAAGCCCCCAGAGGGTCCGAGCTCTCACCAATTTCTTTATGAAAGACGAAATCGCTTTTCCTTGACGCGTTGATAGCGTGGTTCCAATGACCAGGTAGTCCGCGTAAGGTATTTCAGGCGCCACTTCGATGACGGCGATGTCTTGCAACTTTTCCTTCCTCACGAGGTCAACTAGCACCTCGATGTCGAAAACTCCCCTCTCGCCGTGCGGAACCTCAATTCCTAGAACAAGGGCATGAGGAACCAGAGCTATGCAGGAGGAATATCGTTCCAAGCTCGCAGTAGCCTCGAAAGGGGTCGCATACCTCGTGTTATCGATTGCCGTTCAGTCTGAGGATAGTAGTCCAGCATCTCTTGGCTGTCCCAGATGATACGAGATTCGTCTTCGAAAGCTCTAGTCGAACCCTTCCGCGATGGGCTGACACTGTCGGCGTCTGTCGGACACGCAGCAGAAGTGTGGAACCCTCTCGAGAACATACCGTTAGCACCCAGCGCTGAGCTCGGCTGTGGTTTGTCCTCTTCATCATCTTTCTGCTGGAAATACAATCTCCGTGTACGATTGTTCACGCGCAAATGTACCCGACCTGGCTAGAGAGTCTACGCCAAACGGAACAGTGTTCTTGAAGTACCAACAAGCCAGTTCATTCAGGAATGGCTAAGATGGAGGAATACCGACCTCTTCTTTGATCCTCTTCTTTTCTTGTCTCTGTTCGCGCTTCTTTTCAGCTACCACATCGAATTCTGCATACAACTCATTCAAATACCCGCGAGTTTCACCATCGGGCTCTCCGAGTTTTTCGAGAAGTTTCCTTTCCTCGTCGGTCAATGGAGCCTTGGTCGGCTGCATTTCCAACGCACCAACATGTATCCCCGACGCCGGGAAGGCATTTCGGCACACTGGAACGAAATATCAATCGGTGAGAAATCTAATTGGAGAGAGTCGAAATTCCGAGGTTTCCGTCTAGATAAGATCTCCGCGTGAACAATTCGCGAAAACTTTTGTATGAACTCGATTCCGACCTGCCAGACTGATGGAGCGATTCGGAACTTTGGGTACGCCAGCGCCCGCCGTTCCTTTGACACTTACAATAACCCTCCGATGATCCGCAAAACCAAATCGCTCCACAGGGGCTGTCGTCCGAAGCCAGCAATCAAATTCTTTCCCGTGAGAAGGCAAATTTTCAATGACGACACCGTCGACGGAACGGGTCCGTCCCCCGTTTGTTGGTCCGCCGAATCAATAGAAATCCTCTCAATCGGACACCTCCGCATAATCAACTCGACCGGTTCCGATAAGACTTTCGGATCGGAGCGCTACCGCAATCAGAGCATTCGATTTGAAATCTGCGCTTTCGTTCCAAGAAATCCAGAGTGAATTCGACAGCGACCATCAAAGGAAAACTATCGAGAAAGTCTCATAGATCATGCTTAGAAAGCTGATGGCGAACTTCAGACATTGAGCTCGATCTTGAGCACTGATGCAAGTTCTTCTCGACCGCCTCGTGCTCTGCCCAACCAAGGAACGAGGGGACCTACTTAGACCTCTGGTTCCCTTCATGGAATGACATTAATACAGGATATGTTCAGGATAGTGATCGGCTGTTCGTGCTGACTGTCATAAGTTTCTCTCAACGGGACCAGTGCGGTGAAGACCGCGCGCAAACTCACCTGAGGCTCTTCCGAGGCTCCACAAGCGGCGGAGTGCCATCCGAGCGGTTGTTTAATTCAGTCGAACAGGTACTTGAGTGAAGTAAACGCTGACGACAAAAACTATCTCACAAATATGCGTCCGTGGTCTTCCTCCTCGCTCCTCGTGTTGACGGTTGTGGTAGTAATTTCGCTGCGGCTGCGAAAACAGCAATCGCTGCTGCTGTTTGATGCTCACCGGGCCCGACGACGACCAGCTCGAAGCAGCAGCAGCCGAGCTCTGCGTTCTCTCAGGAACGGGGGAGAGGAGGAACGGCGTTCCTGGCGGACGGAGGGACAGTATGCCTCAGACATGCATTGCCGCTCACAGTGAGGAAGCCGAGAGGACGTAACGACGTAACCTGATGAAGTTTCTTGAAACGAAGTTGTTTCACGAGAGCTCGCAGACGAGTGTTTACTAAAAGCTCATGATGATGATCTCTGCTCGAAGGCGACGATTTTCGCGGGTTTCGCGATCGTTTCTCCGGACCCTCCGCGGATCGAGCGAAGGTGGGAGCTGATACGATGAGGCGTCTGATTAGGCTCGATTGCTACGAGTAAATCTATCTCAATACGCGTATTCAAGTTCATCACCGTTTCTCCGGGAATGCAAGCGAGTTCAGATGCTCCTCCAATCACCGCACCCTCGCCTGTGAGATTTTTGTTTCTCGCTCAGTGGTGAGACCAAGCCGCATCTTCTCCGAAGCCGTCGCACCCCCATTCCGCCACGGCGAACAATGAACACGATCATGTCCTCAAGCTGCGTTCGGGACAGAATCGTCAACATTTCGAATTCCTCAAACTTTCTAGGGGGCTCCTGGATCTAGGTATGTCTTGAGGTCGGAGCCTCTCATGAGCTACGGGACTCGTTGAGCGACTCGATCTTGTGAAGATTTGTCGACCTTCCCTTCTCCCCTGATATATCCCTTTTGTCTTGAATCTTGAAGCTCGGTTCCAATCCATGATGGCATCTGCGAAGTCTTCAAGAAGACCTTCAACTCTTTGGGAACCGCCGCCTTTTCATGTGAAGATATTGTTTCGATCTCGTGAACTTTTCCCGCGCTTCTCCTGAATATTTCTCCCTGTTGACTTCTCCCTGGTTCTCCTGGAGTTTAGTGTTATTATCGAAGACTTCAATTATTCAGGCGTGGGGGACCTGAGTCGAGGTCCACACCTTTTGTAGTGTCTCGATTTGAATCTCGATCGATCTAAATGAAGCATGGAGTATGGATAAGAGACCGCGCTCGACTGTCAATGTCTCGGTAAATCGTTGCTCTGCTAGAACTCATGAACAAACTTCGCTTTGGGATTTCCTCCTCGGTTCTCCTCGATCCACCTTTCTCCCGCCCTTCGACTCGATCCCCGGCACCTAAAATTGAAGAATCCCGCTCGAGGGGAAGCCAATCGTCCGTTCCGATTACTTGGCAGTTTGGCAGTCTACGCAGCGCGAACGTCAACTCTGCTCACTAGAAGCAGCTCAGAAAAAGCTGGGCTCTGGGAGCGCGATTCCGATGTAAACAGAACGTTCCGCGTGTACTCTAGCCCCGCATTTCGAATTTGAACTTTCCTCTATCAGCGGCGGGACATTCCGGAAGTGTTCCTCATCCGAAGCTCCTGGAGACCTGCTGAAATACGGTCCCTGTCAAAGGAGGGAACACGACTATCTAGACCGACGTTGTCGTCTGCTAAGGCCCCCATCTTGACTTTGCATGTCCTGCTGCTGCTCTGGTCTACGGCTGTGTGGTTGGTGGTGGCAGTGGCATAAAGTGTAAATTTTCTCCCCGATAGAGCAGGAGCAGTTTCGATCGAACTTATAGCAACACCTGACCAATGCGCGGCTCCCGCCTAGAAGATTGACAAGTCATATCGAGTCTGAGTCGGACCTGTCGAAAACTTCGGGTTTTGCCTCGAGCTCGCTCTCCGGCGACGGCATGGAGGATGAGTACGAAAGTTTGCCCTCGGCCTCGACCGGGGTGCACATGATGGCCGGAGCCGTAGCGGGAATAATGGAGCACTGTCTCATGTATCCACTCGATTCAGTCAAGGTACGTTCGAAGCCGTCGGGACTGAGAAATCAACTACATATGTAGATTCGCCACAAGGTCAATGGGGGTTCGATATTTACAGCCTTGACCGGCTCGGCGAAGTGTCCTCCGCGCACTCGGGTCTCGAGGCTTCGGGGTCCGACAGGCACAGCTTTTTGGCCACGTGTTTCGGGAACAACGGGTATTCTTGAACGTATCTGCACAAACGTATCTTTGGAAGATCTTCTGGGAGATAGCTTGCGGCATTCCAAGACCCAGTGCCCAACATCAGAACAGATAGCGGACCTGGATCCATTCCATTCGAGGAGCTAGTTTCGAGACGAAGACAAGGTGTTCAGAATAGGTCTCGACGCTGTTTAAAACAGTATTTCCTGTCCACCATTCAGAGACGTTGCAAGTGTGGCGCCAACTGCCGGAGCCCTCGAGCACATGTTCCGATGCTTCCCCACTGGATCAGCTGGCGCGAAAAACTTTCTCGTATGATTCTCCCGCGCATTTGGCGTTCTCTGATCGTCGACGCTCGTCTGTGAGTTTTTCTGAGATCGCTCCGAGCACTCCTGCTGGACGCCGTAGACTTTTGAGGAAATTCCGTGCTTTGTTGAGGTTACCAACCACACTGACAGCTCGACTCGACGTACGCTGCTGCGGCGGGGACGTGAGCAGCCCGATCGAAGTCTTGAGCTCAGTCAGAAGTGCCCAGAGAAGAATCTCCGATGACAGAAGACGTGATTCGGCGCTACTCGCAGTGGCGAATGAAGTCGAAACCGACGAGCGGTGACGAAGCTCGGTCCGAGTTGGATGACGAAACTCGTCTTCGGTCAGGAGTCGGCTTCGCGACTTGTGGCTACTAACCGCGATTGCGGTTTTTCTTCAACATGGGACTCTAAGGAGGAGAGCAAATAACCGCGGTTCATGACCGCGGTTTCTCATGGAATTTGCGGTTTTTCGCGAAGCCTACTCAGGAGTCGGTGCGAGAGACTGTCCATGACGGACCGGAAGATCCCGCGCCTCCCGCGAATTCATGATGTCGCGTAGGGAATCATTGACCTTGAACGGGTATCCCAACGGATACCTGCGTCCTCTTATCCATCTGCTGACCTGAATTCCGGAATCTGCGAGCTACTCGAAGGAACAGCGCATATCTATGAAATAGAATCTCCGCCCCGAATGCTGTCTAACAGAGGAATATGTACGTACTCGGATTCTCGATAAATCGCCTCCAATAGGATGCTAGCGAGAAGTAATGGAGACGACCAATATTATTAACATCGCCCGCTCATAGGCGGATTCTATTCGGAGAATCTAAAGAGCCGTTGCCCTTGCCACCAGGCGCTTCGAAGCGGAACAAGCGAGATCAGCATTCGTCAGTGGAGAGAATTCGATGTCACGAAATGAGAGCCGCTCGACTTGAACCTCCTCTTGAAGTTTGGTTTAAGTGATTCGCCTATCTCGGCGCACTTGATCTCTACCGATAGTTTCTTACTCCAATAGTTCTTCAATACCGGAATGTAATAGACTTCACGCTGGAAAACAGCGATGAAGGGTCAATCTCGGCAGAGAATATGGGAAATTTTCCTCGGCTGGGCTTGACCTCCCCGCTCTTAACGAGTGTCGCTTTCCAGTAATCCCTCACATCATCTCTGGGCACCCTCAAAGTGTACGCTTCTCGAAAGCGGGTCCCGGCGTTTTATC